GAAATAGAAGTTGTTGGAGATTGAAAGAAGCAAAATTGTTTGTAGTCTGTGAAATATCTGCTCATGTTCATGGTGTTTTGTTTTTTTTCTTCAGATGTTCTGGCAGATAATGGTCGCCTTAATCTGACTGCTGACGTTATCACTGCTTTTGGCAAAATGATGAGTGCACACCGTGGAGAGGTGATCTGCTCTGTCACCACTGCTCAGGTATGAGTCCAATTTAATCTGTGGATCACTGCACTGTTGTGATTGTGTTTGTGGTTTTCATTAATGGTACCATTATGTTTTGTTGTGGCTTCAGCCTTTGGATGAAGCTAGTCTTGCTGAACTGAAAGTAGCCCTAAAAGGCTTTCTTCTGAAGGGCGAAACTATCAAGCTGGAAACAAAGGTAAAGCGTGTTGCTTTCAAACTGCATGAACACATTTTTTTCTTTTACCTTAATGTAATTTTCTACTTGTTTTCTCTTTACAGTCAGATCCTTCGATCCTGGGAGGCATGATTGTCAGCATTGGTGACAAATATGTGGACATGTCCACTAAAACAAAGATCCAGAAGCTGACCCAGCTCATCAGGGAGACTTAAGTCCCGTGGACTTAATTTTGCAAACATAAATATTGCTACTTGTCCTAGCACTGCGGTTGCTCCTTAAATCCAGTGTCTGTGCTTAACTTCATATAGATGTTAATAAAAACTACAAAAAACAGAATTACCTTTTTTCTTCTTTCAGAATGTCAGACACTTAACAAACGTATTTATGCTTCTCAGACTTATGTCAGGACGTGAAATGGTCCCAACGGTTAACAGCCTTTAGAAATCAGGGAAGTGACCAATAGACAGAGATCTGCTCTATATGATTTTAAATTTAACATTCAATTTATGGATTTTTATGGAGTATGAAGGAAAAAGAAGGCAAGATTTCCACTGATGTGAATGAAAAGAAAAATATTTGGATGATATGAAAATAACTGGGCATTTGCACCCTATTGTTAATAAAAGAATAAAGTACAGTGATGTTCATAATTTCTATTTAACCAGGAAAAGTCTCATTGAGATAAAAAAATGTCTCACAAACATGCCCTGACCAAGACGGTTAGTGGTTATTTGTCAGTTTTGGCTATTAGCACAAATATTTACTATTCAAAAAATTAAATTATATAAAACATATTTTAACAATCACCAAGACAATTTCAAACTAAACTCGAAAGTTGCATACAAATACCTGCATTCCTTTAAGATCATTTTAAAGCAGTCTAAAGAGACCAGCTCACTCGATTTTAAGTATTTCTCTTAACTTTTGGAACCGACACATTTCATCCCAGCGCCGCGTGTCCCAATGGACAACTCCCTGCCGCCCTCTGGGAAAAGGCTTCTCAGCATTTGATGTGGGGCCAGCAGGTTCTGGAACAGCTTCTTTCCCATTGTTGCCACACTGCTGAACAGTTGGAAAAACTTTAAATCATGTCACACACTGCATCAAACTGACATCAAATGAGAGCTGCACAAAATGAAATTTAGTTTTGTATACACAGAGTTTATACAAAATGACAAATGTGCCTAAGTAAAAAGTCTAGAGCAAAGATTTTGAAAAAATTATTTTATTGACAGATATGGATTTATAAATATGATGAAAGCTGACAGAGTATACATTAAGTCAGTAAATGTAGGTATTCTGGGGAATAATGAACAGATAAACCAGTTTATTATTGCATTAAAGTTGTACTGATGAAGCAGTGACGAGATGAAGAACCCCGCTGTAGATTTTTGAATTTATACTTAACATGCGTTAGACAGCAGATGGGTTTTGTCACACATTCCAGGTAGGCAATAAAAAGTTCTACTGGATTCACTTTGTATTAGATTTTTTTTGTGCTTCACAAAGGTAGGCAGCAGCTTGACAAAGCCATGATGGCAATTATTTTACATTATTATGGTATCGGTATCGACCGATACTGCACAGCCAGGTATCGGGTATCTGTATCGGGGCCAAAAAATGGCATCGGTGCAACACTAGTTTTTACTTAAAATATAAAATTCTTAATCTTGGCCGAATATCTACGGTGGATTATTAGGGCCTGGCTAGTGTTGACAAGAAGAGAGAATAGAAATTATAAACACAGACATGTATGTATATACAGGTGCTGGTCATAAAATTAGAATATCATGAAAAAGTAGATTGATTTCAGTAATTCCATTTAAAAAGTGAAACTTGTATATTATATTCATACATTACATACAAACTCATATATTTCAGATGTTTATTTTGTTTAATTTTGATGATTACAAATGACAACAAATTAAAATCTCAAATTCATCATATCAGAAAATTAGAATATTGTGAAAAGGTTCAAAATTGATGGCCCCTGGTGCCACACTCTAATCAGCTAATTAACTCAAACCACCTGCAAAAGCCTTTAAATGGTCTTTCAGTCTAGTTCTATAGGCTACACAATCATGGGGAAGACTGCTGACTTGACAGTTGTCCAAAAGACGACCATCAACACCTTGCACAAGGAGGGCAAGACACAAAAGGTCATCGCTAAAGAGGCTGGCTGTTCACAGAGCTCAGTGTCCAAGCACATTAATAGAGAGGCGAAGGGAAGGAAAAGATGTGGTCGAAAAAAGTGTACAAGCAAGAGAGATAACCGCACCCTGGAGAGGATTGTGAAACAAAACCCGTTCAAAAATGTGGGGGAGATTCACAAAGAGTGGACTGCAGCTGGAGTGAGTGCTTCAAGAACCACCACACACAGACGTATGAAAGACATGGGTTTCTGCTGTCGCATTCCTTGTGTCAAGCCACTCTTGAACCACAGACAGCGTCAGAAGCGTCTAAAGAGAAACAGGACTGGACTGCTGGTGAGTGGTCCAAAGTCATGTTCTCTGATGAAAGTAAATTTTGCATTTCCTTTGGAAATCAAGGTCCCAGAGTCTGGAGGAAAAGAAGAGAGGCACTTCATCCACGTTGCTTGAAGTCCAGTGTAAAGTTTCCACAGTCAGTGATGGTTTGGGGTGCCATGTCATCTGCTGGTGTTGGTCCATTGTGTTTTCTGAGGTCCAGGGTCAACGCAGCCACATACCAGGAAGTTTTAGAGCACTTCATGCTTCCTGCAGCTGACCAACTTTTTGGAGATGCAGATTTAATTTTCCAACAGGACTTGGCACCTGCACACAGTGCCAAAGCTACCAGTACCTGGTTGAAGGACCATGGTATCCCTGTTCTTAATTGGCCAGCAAACTCTCCTGACCTTAACCCCATAGAAAATCTATGGGGTATTGTGAAGAAGAAGATGCAATACACCAGACCCAACAATTCAGAAGAGCTAAAAGCCACTATTAGAGCAACCTGGGCTATCATAACACCTGAGCAGTGCCACAGACTGATCGACTCCATGCCACGCCGCATTGCTGCAGTAATACAGGCCAAAGGAGGCCCAACTAAATACTGAGTGCTGTACATGCTCATACTTTTCATGTTCATACTTTTCAGTTGGCCAACATTTCTATAAATCCTTTGTTTTTATTGGTCTTCAGTAATATTCTAATTTTCTGATATGATGAATTTGAGATTTTCATTTGTTGTCATTTGTAATCATCAAAATTAAACAAAATAAACATCTGAAATATATGAGTTTGTATGTAATGTATGAATATAATATACAAGTTTCACTTTTTAAATGGAATTACTGAAATCAATCTACTTTTTCATGATATTCTAATTTTATGACCAGCACCTGTAGAGGTTCTTCTTTTGTTTTTCCTTTTACAGTTGCACATTTCAAGTTTTTTAGTTTTCAAGTTCATGTTTGCTGACAGATATTTAATGAGATAAACTGTGCCTTCATCAGTAGTGGATTAGAGATATAAAGTTAAGTTCACAGGTGGGCCAATTCAATTCAGTTTGGTTCAGGTAGATATTTAATGATGCAGAAAATAACAATCTCATTGTACAATTGATTTATAAAATATTTGCTCGCATGCTGGCATTGTCTACGAAAGAGGATTAGGGCCACTGGAAAAACAGAAAAAGTTAACTGATATATAAATATGTCAGTTTAATATGGGAAAACGCCAGAATTCTGACTTTAATCTCAGAATTTTGGATCTTAATGTATATGGGCATCGTGAAGGAAGGAGATGTGGGAGCACTCGCTTCACTTACAAAGATGTGAGTTGTTTGGGAGGGCCAGTAACACATTGGTGGAAAATTACGGAATTAGGTGACTTTTTACGTGCCAGAGGGCTCACTGGTGATACTATTTCATTATTGGAAGAGCAGAATGTGATTAAAACAAGAGAGCTAGTTTAGTGTCTAAAACATGGCTATGACTTGATACTTAAATGTTTGTTAGCTGTCAGAATTCATTTAGAATTTGAGATTAAAGTCAGGACTCTGGGAATAAAGTCAGAATTCTGAGATTAAAATCAGAATTTGAGAAAAAAGAATTCTGAGAAAGAAAAGTCAGAATTCTTAGATTTAAGTCAGAATTCTGAGAAAAGTCTGAATCAAAGTCAGGATTTTGAGAAAAAAAGAATTCTGAGATTAAAGTGAGAATTTTGAGAAAAAAGTCAGAATTCTGACCTTTTTCTCATATTACACTCAAAATTTGTTAACTTTTTAAATGTTTTAAGTGTCCCTATTCTTCTTCCGTAATTATCTGTGCCCATGCTTTTTTAAATTAAACAATTGCCATAAAAAAAATGTTTTTTGGTGCCCTAGTGTGCCCCTGTATAGCATTGGGTCAGGTGACGCCCCTGACTTCATTGTCGTAATATTGAAACTTTATTCTCGTAATATTACGACTTTATCCTCGAAATAATAAAAAAAAAATGAAAAGAAAAATCTCTAGCCTAGCTCTAGTACTCCTGTGTAAAAATCAGAGCTTCAATCAGAGGGTCTTTTGCTTTATCGGATCCTCCTCGCGCCACTCCCAATCCTTACGTGTTCTAAACCCCGCCTCTGCGCATGCGCGCTCGGACAATGCTGTTTTATCAATTTTTTTTTTTTTTTTTTGGGTCAAAAATGGCTGCCGGTCTGCTCTTCCTCGGTCAGGATTAAGCAGGCCTGAGAACAGCTGTTGTTCCCGGACCGGACCATCGGAGCAGGCTGCGCAGGGATGATGTTGCTTCCCGAGGGGGACAAACCTTTACGAGACACAATCGCCCCCTTCCAGCACAACACCCCAAAATAAATGAGGTACGAACTGTTTCCTTTTGCATAGCTTATGGTTTATTGTTTTCATTTATGTTTGTGTTGTACTTTGTTTAAAAAAAAAAGCAGGCCTATTTGCTTCATCAAAGTAAGCAGCTTATTTTGCATTTGTCACTCTTCACATGTTCCTAATGTTTCTACCAATCTGCACCCAGACAGAAAGAAAAGAAATGATGCACCGATTGAGCAACAGCAGCAGTGACTTCTGTATCAGTGGGCTGGCAGAGGACTGTCATCCAGCTACCCACTTTGATTTATGCAGCACTCACTCCAACAAGTTCTACGCCTCTCCCACAAACCCTGGTTTGCAGCTGTCCCTTGCCAGCCTTGCCCCTTTGCCACAGGGAATACACAAAGCCATGACATGCCAGTTGCAGGAGAGCCAGGGGGATTTCCAGCCACAGGCAGTGAGGATCGGGGCTGCCGAGGCCCTGGTCCCGGATGGCTCCAAGAAAAAGAAAGGCTCTGCTAAGTCAGGGCGGAGAGGGAGGCCGGCTGGGACCACAAAGTTGGCCGGGTACCGCACAAGCACCGGACGCCCGCTGGGCACGACTAGGGCGGCCGGGTTCAAAACCAGTCCAGGGAGACCCCTTGGAACAACCAAGGCGGCAGGGTATAAAGTCAGCCCAGGAAGACCCCCAGGTAGCATTAAGAGTCTATCTCGCCTCAAGAAGCTGGAATTTGGTTGTTGTGATGCTGCAAAAACTCTTGACTTGAGCAACTGCAGCATTCCTAAGAAACTGGACTTCCCTGGCAGCGAAGTTGCAACGTTTCCGTACGCCATCATGGAACCTAGAGACCTCTGTGATGCCAGCAGCAAAGTGGATGAACCCACTGATTAAACACATCTCCCTCATTTGGTTGCATGCGTCAAAAAACTTGGGTTTTGTTTTTTATAAAGAAAAAAACTGTCTTTTCACACACTGCTAATAAGGCGATTAAAGTGTATTTTACACATGCATGCATGTATGCAAACAAACCAAAATTAGAAAAAAAACAACAACAAACAAATGTAGCCTTTTTGTCTGATTTTTTGTTTTTTCACCAGTCAGGTGTACCTAAGGTATAACTGAACTTTAAAATAAAACCTTTTAGGGGCTCAACTTTAATTCATAAATGATAGTTTGGCCACTGCTTGTTCAATAACAGCACTTTGTATGTAGTGCAATTTATGCATTTAATAATGTCAAAGGAATGAAAAAACGACAGTCTAATTGCAAGCAAGGATGGACATTATAAAGGTGAGAAGAACTGAAGGTGGGCCCCTGAAAATCCAATTCTGCTTCAGGCCTGATAAATGCTTGAGCGAGCCCTGGCTCCAGAGCATTTCCTTCCTTTGGATTTTGCCTTTGTTTAAATTTTACTTTCTGAAGCATTGATTTCATACATTTTCCTCCCTAGACAGAAAGTTTGACCCATCTAGTTGTACAGTATGTGTTTTACTTTGTGAAAAAAAAAAAAAAAAAAAAAAACAAGCACCAGAACTAAGGTGAAAAAAAAATATATAAATATATAGAAAAGCACTTCCTGGCCTTTCCTTGCTGATACAGAAAGAAGGAAAAAAACACGTTATGTGAAAAACTGATTGGTACATCTCATTAAACAGTTTGTTTTTAAGTTTCTGTTTAGCTCCAACTTCTAAACTTCCTACTTTATGAGCACAGTATTTATTCTTTCCGCACTTTGTAAATATAAATGTATTTCCTACATGTCGTTGAACGTATCATAAGCACTTCCATTATTTGTGTTGTCATACTTATTCTTAACTGAAAATCTCAAATATGCATATGTTAAATCTCAATGTGCTGTATGTGAAACCATAATTAAAAACCTTTTCAACTATTTGACTCCAGATCAGTTTGCTAATTTGCATCGCCATAGTGGTCACATTTCTTACCACTTTATTCACTAAGTATCAGTTTATTTCTTTAAGCTTTACAATTTAAAAAGTTCAAAGTTTGATTATGTGTCATCATATAGTTTATAAAGAACTGAGGCCAACATTGAAGAGCCCATAATGAGGGACCAAAAACAGACATTTCTTCCCCCTGCTTAGTAATTAATCTCCATCAGTCAGTGTTTAGGCAATGAAACAGATTTTTTTTTAAATTAGACAAATACAAATAATGAATTTTAAAACTATTTATAAATTATTCATCTAATTATTAAGTTTGGAGCACATCAGTTGTTGGGTTTGATTCCCAGCCTGGGGTCTGTTTTTGAATAGATTTTGTGTGTTCTTAGAATAGAATAGAACATTTCCTTTATTGTCCCACAATGGAGAGATTGCAGTGTTACAGCAGCAAAAGATTATAGCAAAAGTGGTCACATAAATGTGGACCTTAAAAAAGTGTATAAAAATAACAGAATTAGTGACAGAGTTAAGAAAATAAATAAAACACTGAACTGTACAGCGTTTTTACAATATAAATCTGTCATAAATGTTAATAATGTTCACTAAATTCCCCAGTAAAGTAAAAGTTAGGCGGTTAAGGGGGAACTGTGGAACATTTAGAGCTCAGTTAAGGTCAGTGTTCATGGGACAGTTCCAACACAAAAAAAACTATTTAAGTTTAAAATACTAGTTTATCAAGAAACATCTTGATGAAAAAAGAGATTTTGCTTAAGCTTTGTTTCCAGTTAATGTTCAGCTTAAAACTAGAAAGAAAAAAGCATCAGATCTACAGTTTTCCATGACGGTAGTACTGTAATTATCTTTTTACATTAAAAAAAATAGGTTGTTACATATTATTAATAAACATGTACTTCTTGTTTACTGTTTCGTGCTACTACTACTATATATACAATAATGTTAGATAATTTATTTTGATTTTCTGTTCTAAACTGGAAGAGTGACAAAAATAAACTTGTATTAAACACTTTCAGATTCTGTTATAGGCTTTTGGCTTTGCAGTGCGCCACTTAACCACTAGGGGGGTTTTGGTCTGACAGACAATAGTAAGTACTTTGTGAGAAATCTTTAAATCCATAATACATTGTGTAAAATCACTACTACGATTAAGTTTACAGTATTTTTGATGTGTTTACAGAGATATGTAAAAAAGGAGACGGCTGATAAAAAAAACTGGGTCATGTTCTACTTTTAATCGTATATAGCTACTGTTTACTGATATCTATGTTACCTATCGGGTATTTCTAGAAAGATTTCAGAGTTTTATTAAAGTAATGGTTTGAAAATGAAAGAGGAAAGCGTCGATAAGTTGAAAGCTGTAATCAGTGTGACTCAGAGAGGGCTCCAGCCTACTGTGCGCTTCTTTTACATATATTAGCGCATTTGAATTCGTGAATACTTATGTAACGGGGTATGTTTATGTGATATCTTTATAGCCATGTTTATTTTTTAAAGTTTTCACAGCGTAGCAGTTCGCTTTTATCTCTTTCTTTTTTCTTGCGCCTGGCTGGCGGCCTGCTTCCTCCTGCCAGCTTTCTCCGCGCAGAAGACAACATGGCGTACAGAGAGAGAGACACAGAGGGCTGACCGGGGAGGCCGTTAAAGTGGCTTTAAAAACCCACTCCGCTCGGTCACAAAGCAACACACGGAGTCCACTTTTAGACACCAACGCGGCTCATTCTTCTACTGCTTCCGTCCTACGTTTATTACCACTGTTTTACAGTTTCCCTAACTTAACCTGGGTGTCCTTAACGTGCGTGTTAGTGATTCGGCCCGTGTTTGTGTGAGTGAGTGTCACGGCCCTCTGCGGAGCATACGGGGGGTTGGGTAGCAGTGCCGATTGGTCGCTGCTCACCAACACAGGCAGCCTGGGCTTGTTTTAACATAACCGGGGGCACTTCGACTGGGACGCAGATAAAACATGTAATAAATAGGCCTAATCTGCTTGAGCAGAAAGGAGGGGAAACCGGCACTCATGGTGTAACAGCAGCTTTAGTCCTCTGTTTGACTGTAAAGCTGACATTTTTTTTAAAGAGGAGGGCCCCGCCGTCGCTGCTGCTGCTGCTGCTGATGAGGCGATGAAGTGCCGAGAATGAGAGCCGAGCCGAGGCCTGCTACCACAAGCAGAGCTGCTGCAGCCGGGATTGTGCAGAAAGCCGTCGCTTTGTGTCACTCCAACAAAGATCCGCTGTTGGTTTCACGGTGACCGACCTCCAAATGGTGGGTATTTCGCCCTTTTTCCCCACGTGTTGACAGTGTGTGTGTTAATAGTAGCTTCCTATGAGCGGCTGTAGCTTGTTTGTGTGATCCGATCTTTTTGTTATTTTTCTGTGATGGCTTTAGTGTCACCACCGCCACCACAGCCTGAGCGATCGCCATGACCCACAATCGACAGCGGCGCATTTTTTCAAATATTTGTAAATAGAAAGGTGTGGATGTGTTCAGGGTTTTTGTCCAGAGTTGGCCTTTTTACAATGGAGGCCATGCTGTGTGTGTGTGTGTGAGAGAGAGGATAGTCTAAGGTTTGTGAGTTCGCCTCTTAATGGATTCATGGTGAAACTGAGCGCCATTACTCTCTTTTCTAACTGTGTTTTATCTTTGTTTGTTTAACAGGATATAAGGATGACAGCATGAATCAGTCATACAGACCGGGTCCTAGGGTTGGATCAGTGTTTGGCCCCAGCCAGCCAGAGAGGAGGGCCCGAAATGGCCCTCTGGGCACTTCTTATAGGAACCAGTGTGGCACCGTAACCCGTGGACCGGGCCAGCTGCCTCAGCCGGCTTTCCTGGGATACAGTCAGCTGGAGCCCTTTAACTGCTACAGCCCTCAATGGAGACCACAGGACAGGAGCAGCCTGCGCTTTGCAAGTCCAGTCACCAACGACGAAGATGAGGACGACGAGTTCAAGTCTCCACCTGTCCAGCTGTCCTCGTCTCCTGGCACTGATGAAGCTGAGCCCTTTGAGACTCTGCAAACAGGTTACAGCCCTCAGAGGAGACCGCAGCGGATGACCAGCAAAGACTCGGACCTTCATCCCAGGGGCAGCTTCCGCTCTACAAGTCCAATCACTGATGAAGAAGATGGATTCGACCCACTGCAGATCCAGCTACCTTCGTCCTCCGGCGCAGACAACATGGACTCTTTTGAAACTCTACAGGACGGGAGCAAAAACGGGTTCTCCCCTCGCAGCGCGGACAGCTTTGAGCGCTGCTCGCCCATTCCCAATGGGTTCCTCCATTTTGGATCCGTGCTGTTTGACAGCGGGGACATCAAGGAGGAGGATGAGGGGCACGGCGGGGTTCAGGCGCTCAAAACTTTACAGCACTCCTCAAGCACGACCCAGGAGCGAAACGTCACTGGGAATAAAAGTAACTCAGGGTTGGAGAGAAGAACTTACAAACCCACAGTCTTCAATCTGATGTCCAAAACTATTTCTGAACTGAACCCCACACTAAGCCCCAGCGCACTGCCAGAAATCACTATGATAGACGGGTGGAAAGTGGGCCAGGAGTCAGACAGCGACGTTGAACTCACCTCTCCTGTTGAGCCTGGACTTGTCTCGCCAGCTGGCACCAACTCTAATGTGAGTTGGGGGGGGGGTGTTTGTTTGGCTGCACTTTTGTTGCCGAAGGAACATTTGCAACATTTTGCAGCAGAGAAAACCAAAGCATGAAGAGAAGGACTGTGCAGCACATGAGATGCACCGATCCGGAATAAGACAAATTCAGATTAGTGGATATTTACAGAAAAACATAAAACTTGTTTTCTCATTTCTTTCATGACATGAAACTAAATAAATATAAACTACCTCTGCTTTAATGCTAAAACAACTAGCACCCCTGTCCATACATCCTTCCTACAACTATTAACATTTAAAACAAAAAAAAATAAAAACAAACCCTATAACTTACTAAATTTTATTGTCCTTTAGGATTCATAAAGTATTTTTTTTTTATTAGGTTGACTTTAACATCTTAAAAAACACCTTTCTCTTACATTAATATTGCTAAACAAGAATCTGCTTTAAATATTTGAAAGAAACCGGAGCTCTGTATCGGCTCTAAATTATCTGCTGCATCCTTCAGTAATTTTAGTAAATCTGTAAAGGTAAATTCTGTTATTTATACTTTTAGACATTATTTTAGAAGTGCTTTAGACCAACTTTATATCGCTGTTTTAATGTGAATTAAAGATAAACTGTAATTTTAGTCTCACATTAAAGTGTCCTCCTTGTGCTTCTTAGTCCAACAGCCCAAAGAAGAAACTTCTCCCTGCTGTGAAGTACCTGGATGGAGATCTGGTGTGGGCCAAATTCAACAGGCGGCCTTGGTGGCCCTGCCAGGTCCTCTGTGACCCAGACCAAGGGATCCACACCAAGATGAAAGGTGAGAAGCATTGATTTCTACTCTGGCCAGTGTTTGTCTGTGGACACGTGTGTAGTTAAGGTAAAATGTAATAACACATTAATTATTACACAGCAATGTAGTAAAGGTTGTTCTGGACTGTCAAAAATTACATTTTGGTATTTTAGTATCAACTTGGAACACCTGATGAGTCGACACCAAGCTCTTCAACTTTTTTCTCTTCCACTTAACTTTCAGTAAAATGTTTTGATGCAGCCCTCTGGGGCTGTATCATTGCACTGCTTCTTTAGTGTCTCACCTTCCTTGTTTAGGGTGTTAATAGCTGAAGCCAGCCGTCGTTCCTGTGATTATATTTCCAACACATGATCATAACATTTCTGCAGTAAAAACAAATTTCTATTGGTTTATATTGAATTTTCTTTTAGAGGTAAAAAGAAATAAAGGTATTCTCCAAATATAACACTATGTTGGCAATGCATCAATAATGCAATAAAAAAAAAAATTAGATGAGTTACTTCAAGATATTGTGGAGTATTTTTTTAAAAGACTGTCCCTCTCCACTAAT